CAGTTTTTATGATGGTCTGGGGAGTTGTTTTGTTTGTTGTTTGTATAGTTTCATTTATTAGGAACTGGAAGAGTACCTTGATTTTTAGCAGAGATTACTTTTGACTTGAAGTTTGCAGGTTAAACTAAAACTCATCCTGGATAAAATACTAATACCTGCTCTTCTCAAATGCTTTCAAAATCTGGTGATAGAACTTTTTGTTCATATAAGTACACTGTTGCAAGGTTTTTCCAGTCCCCTGTAGGAGAGAAGTTGCTATCCTAGGATACAGTTGGAGAAAGGGTCAAAAATGTGCCTAGCTTCCAAGGAGTAAAAAAATCCTTTGCATAAATTGGATAGRGTAGAAGGACTTGGCCTTCTTCAGGTGAGGAGAATTAAGGAAATTGCTAGACTGAGGTCGTGGAGGTTGGTCAAACCAGAGTGGGCTGCTATTTACCTGCCATGATAAGAAATGGAGTGAGAAGAGAGAAATTAACGTTTTAAGCCTGGCATCCTAAGCAAGCAATTTTCATGGAGTTTTGTTCATAGAATGATAGAATATCCTGAATTGGAAGGGACCTGCAAGGATAGAGTCCAACTCCTGGCTCTGCAGAGGGCACCCCCAACAATCCCACCATGTGCTTGAGGGCATTGTCTAAATGTTTCTTGAGTTCTGTTAAGCTTGGTGCTGTAGCCACTTTCCTAGAGAGTCTGTTCTACTGCCTGACCACCTGACCACCCTCTCAGTAAAGAACTTCTTCCTTACATCCAACCTAAATTCTCCCTGACACAGCTTCATGCTGTTCCCTTGGGTTCTGTCACTGGTCACCAAAGAGCAGAGACAGAGCAGTGCCTGCCCTCCACTTTCCCTTGTGAGGAARCTGTTGTTCATGTCTGCCTGTGTAGAGAATCCACATAGGTTTTTCTAGAGTCAGGGTGCCAACAGCATGTGCTCTGAAGGTACTGCCCACTGGAGAAATGGGACAGTAGAGCTCTTACAGGTGTTTCAGCTGTGGGGACAGAGCCACAGTCATGAAACWGGTCTTTTAGAAAACTTGATTCCTTAACATGGGTGTCACTGGAACTTGCTGCTTGTGCCRGAGAGCCTCTTTGGAACCTACCTGCAGGCAGTAAGCTGGGTGAACCTCCAMACTGTAGCTGCTTGGTTTTGTTTGGGCTAGTTTTATTGTTTGAGGATTTGATTTTGGGTTTTTTCATTTATTTGCTTGGTAATAGAATGTGATGATCACATACAAGAGCTTGCAGTCACCTATGTGGCTGGAATTAAAAAGTTTCTTGCAGGATGTTGGCCGTACACCTGTGCCATGTCCTACCTTTTCTGTTTGCAGCTTATCTTGTGCTATTCTGAACTCTGGTTTCCATTTTTTTTCTTCAGCAAGTGTTGCATTCTATCTCCGTGGTAACTGAGAACGTCAGTATATTTCGCATGGAAAAACTATATGCTGTTCTTAGCCAGTGCATTTACCAACATCGGGAAGATGGTGACAAAAATGAATTACTGAAGGTAATTTCTTTGATCTTGTACCACTTTCTGTCACTATTAAGGGTGTATGTATGTGTTATGCACGKGTATRTGTACCCTGTGAACATCACAGTTATTTAGCATTATTTGTTGCTGCTTAGTTGCCTSTGTTACAAGATTTGTTCATTACAGTCTTGAAGACATTGATCCATATTGCAAAACCATTGTTACATTTGGCTTAGTTGTTGGCAGTTTCAGCAGGAAAAGGCTTGAAGACGATGGGTCCTCCCACCAGAGCCCTCCCAGAGCAGTTAACCTCAGTCTGTCACTACTCCTGCTCCAGAACCTTTTCAGTGGTGGGGGGGCTCYGAAAGGAGGGTGATTTTCTCAGCCTGTCACTTCCTTGTTCTTCTCTTGCCAGCAGTCACACATAGTAACACTTGTCTAGTAGTCATTCCATTCTTGAAAAGAAACTAAGCGTGAGACATAACAAGAGACTTGAGTCTCTAGTCTCACCAGACTTTTTTCACTAGCACAGCTCAAGCACCTTTAATTTCATGTATGGAGAGTTTCCTGCCTATGAAGATTTAATGATAATGAGTCAAATTCTCTAATCTCATCCTCTAAGAGAGGACTTCCAAATTGTCAGAACTTGGCAGAAAATATTTCACAGGAACCCATGGTCCCTGTCTGGCATTCCAAGTGTTGAGTTGATAGAGGTTGGATATTCAGTCTTCAGCTTCAAGATCCATGAATCCATTGTCAGGTGGTCAACGTAAGAAAACATAAATTTCTTTATGCCTCTCAGTCTTTCTTAAAAATTCCAGGAAGCCTCTTCTCCTGGGTCCTGGTCATCTTGGTCTCTCCTTCCACATCTGATAGAGAGTCAGAACAGGTGCTTTGCTCTGACTGTGCAACAGTGAGGATTACTTGGTTCACGGATGTCATTCCTGAAAAATGTAACCTTCTTTCATCGATCATAATGACACGTCTTAGCATGAGAAGGGATTTGTTTGTTATCTTGGGGCTTATGAGCTTTTGTGACAGARCTTGATTTCTTTGCTTTCTGCTTCTGTGAGCTTTAACCAAAGATATCTCCTATTCAGAGTGACTGCACAAGTCAGTCCAGGAGCAAGTTCTACTGTATGAAGACAGAGACTTTAAAAAGTATTTATTCACAGTGCAGAAAAGAACAGATCAGCATTTAGTTGTGGCTCTTCAGGAACCATATCCTCTAATTGTTGAGATCACTGTTGGTAGAGATCCATAGTCCCCTGATACAGATCCCTGCAGTCTTTCTGGCCTACTCTCAATTTGGGTGCAAAAGGATGTRTTGGTAGCCAGTGAGTATAGAACAACAGTGATGGTGGTAGCACATGTATTGGCTAAATCATTACTAACATTTGTATGCACAGATCCTTGCTTCTTTGGATGAAGAAGTAAACAGGGTTCTTAAATCTGTATTCACACTGACTCCTAATTTGTCTGTTTTTCTTCTTAGGCAATGAAGAAAGAAATTACAGCCTTCAGTGATACTTGATTTCAGCATACTTGACATACTCTGTAATGTTTTCTTTTTTATTGCATGATGTTTTCTTTGCATAGTTCAAGAAATAATAGTTCTACAATATATTTATACACATATTAAACAAAATTATCTTAAAATTTATTAAGAAAGCTCAAATAAAGTCATTTAATGACTTATTTGATATTTCCCTTCTAGATATGTATATTTTAATGTGACATACTGCTGTGATTACCTTTGGAACTCAGCAGATCTGAACAGATAATTTCAGTACCTCTCTTTAAAAGAAAACCTAACTTGAAACAAGCCAAGATTTGCTACTGTAACTTTCTAAGGTAAAGTTTAATCATGCCTRTAATAATGACAATCTTAATACTGGAGAAAAGCATTTTAATATAAATTGTTAATTCATCAAAAATGACCTGTAGTTGAATTAAGCTGTAAATAGTTTTCTAGTTACCTGGGAAGAATTATATCTGTTTATTACATAAAAGTGAATATATTGTTGGCGATAAATATATTAAAGTAAAAGTAAAGCAGCACCCTGTTTTGAAGAAGTATTTATCTTCAAACCAGCAGAGAATTTATCTGTTAATTTGATAGTTATTAAAAAAAGAATAAGACAAAGTTTAACTATATGAGAATAAAATTTATATAAATTGTGATAAAATATGTGGCATGACCCTTTGCTCTTCTGTTCTGTCACCTCACATACACAACATGTGGCGATACTGAATGCCAAACTGTGCAATCCCTCTCTGTGTGTTTTTGGTTTCTTACCTCTCACTTTGTGTCCTTCTAGTATGTTTGTTCAAACATTTGTGTGCTATGCAGATTTTTTTTTCTCTGTATTGTTGGGCGGGTATTAATAAAAAGTTCATCTCTTTTTACTGATGGGTTGTCTACTCTATTTGAATTACAGAATAGTTTTGATCAATGCAAGATTAATAATAAGACACCAGATATTGAGATTTTAAAATAAGAACTACCTGTGATTTCTTACCCAGTCAGTGTATGGGTTATACAGCAAACACAAGCTCAAGAGAAAGAAACAAAAGCTCAGGAGAAACAAAAATTATATTGAAAAAATAAATCTTAATATAATTTATTACTTTGGGAATGTAATAAGTGAACTAATGTCCTTAACTTGATCTCCACTGTGGCTGCCATCACCAGTTTTGATGTGGCTTGCTGAGTGCATCCCCTAAGAGAGCTGTTTGGAAAACTGAACAGGAGYGAGTGTGAAATTAAGGAACCAGTAATAGCCCTAGGATCAAGACTTCTGTTCTTAAAATGCCTTCCKCGCTGGCCCTAATGGCAACAGGATCCTGTACGGCGGCAGATTTTAAACAATRTTTCCAATTCTGTCAATCTTCAACTGAGCAGTTAAGGGTTCCTACACACCACATCTTTTTTCTTTCTCAGGGAAACAGTCACATTTTAGTGTCTGACCCAAAATAGCAGAGTGAAGAGAGAAATAGTATATGGGAACAACGTTTTTGAGAAGACTGATTCAAATATTTTCTCTGTACTAAAGGGAGAGAGGTCTCCTTTCTCCAAATTCTCTTACTAACAAAAAAAAAAAAACAAAAACGTACACAACCAGGTGAGGGAAGTGTGTTTTTCCCCAGAGCCGCTCTTCTGTATTCAGTCGCCTTCGTTTGGGGCTCGGGACTCTGCAGCCGTGTCTTCCCTAGGAGCGAGCTCCGGGCGCGAGTGTTAAAARCCCTTCCTGGGGCGGGGACGCTCCAGTCCCTACACCGCGTCCCTACAGCSCGTCCCGGGCGCGGCGGGAGGGCCGAGCGCGGAGCCGAAGTTTGTCAGCGGAGGAAGGGCTGTGGGGGCGCGGCTGCCGCCCGGGAGCTCCGACCCCGCTGTACCCGCTCCTCCCCGCCCGGCCGAGGAGCCGCCGGTGCCCCCGGGCTGCGGCGCTGCGGTGCCGGGGCAGCCCCCGCGCCCGGTGTCCGCCGCCTGACGGGCGGAGCGGCGGGAGCGGCTCCGCCCCCGCTCGCTGCCAGGGCGGCTGAGGCAGTGGCCGTGCTGTCCGCGCTCGCCGCGCTCCGGCCCCGGGGCAGCGCCGCGCCGGGAGGATGCGAGTGGGCGCCGCGGGGCGAGGCGAGGGCGCGGGCGGCCGCGGCGTTGGGAGCTCCCGGCCCATCCGCCGCCCCCCCGCCCCGAAAGAAGTGCAGTAGTTTGTGAAGCGCAAGATGGCGGCGCGGCCGTGAGCGCAGGCGGCGGGCGGGCGGCGGCGCGGGCTGAGGGGGCGAGGCGGAGCGGCGCCGGCAGGTAGGGGCTCGCCGAGGGGGGCTCTCGGCGGCGGGAGGCGGGAGGGCAACCCCGCTCCCCGGGGAGGCGCGTCCTGCGTCCGCCCCCGCTTCCCCCGGGAGCGGGCCGGACGCTCCCCCGGCGGGGACGGGGCCCGCGGGGTGGGCGCGGTGGGGCGACCGCGCCCCGCCCGCCTCCCCATTGTCTGGTGGCGGCGCTGCCCCCGCGGCCGGGGGTCATCGCCCGTCGGGGGCGGCAGGCTCCGGGCAGGCTGGGGGAAGCAGAGCGGAGGCAGAGCCGTGGCATCCCTTGGAAGCGAATTGTGTGTGCCCACCGCCCCGGCTCGCAGTCGGGTCAAACCCCTCCGAGCCCGAGGACGAGCTTATCTCTTTCTTCCTCCACGTCGTGCCGGGAGCCTGTGCGAGGCTTTGCTTGCCACAGGGCGGAGGAAGATCCGTCTGACTCGTTAGTCGGAAAGGAGAATGAAGAAGTTCAATCCCGATGCGCCCAGAGGAGCCGGCGAGTTCCCGCTCGCTGTCACCGCTGGCGCTCAGGCAGACGGACGGASTGACAGACTGATGGCAGGCAGCGAGCCATGAAGTTCTGGCTCCAGAGTTGCTTTGCATCCCGTGGCGTTGCGGTGCGGGGGCGAGCCTGGAGGAACAGTAGCGTGTATGTGCAGGCAAAGTTGGGGAAGATGTCTGGTTTACTCTTCTGGGGGTGCCTGGGTGTTGGGGTGTGTTCTGATGCTCAGCTCTCCCCTATACCAGGATGTGCAGCACTGGAAACCAACACCGACTTCTGTAAACCATGTAATGGAGGCAGTTCTGGATCTCTGAAAGGGCTCAGAGTATCTACAATAGTGAATGTTATCTGGTAGGTACTTGCACTTTATTTCTGAGCTGCTTGGTAGGTTAAATAGTTAATTGAAAGATGGAGAAGTTTTCGGTGCACAGTGTCATRTAAAATAACAAGGGCTGAGATGTCTCGGTCTGCAAGCTGGCATATACAGAAAGTATATTGAGCGTTTCAAAGTGCATGTAAACATCGTGTAAATAAAAAATGGATTTTGTTATGAAACTTGTTACATGAAAACATACATTCTCTCAAACGTAGGAATGAGAGAGGAATTTTAAAAGCTGTACTGTTGGTTTTCACCAGCGGTCTGTTTTTTTTGTTTTTATTCATAAGGATTTCTTGCCAAAAAAAAGCTTGTGAGTACTTACAGAAACCCTGTTTAAAACAACCTGTGTGATGCAGACTAGGAGAGACTGCCCTGAATKAAGACCTCTTGGAATAAAAATGCATCACTTAGAAACCCTTTTGTTACTTTCTTCAAACGTTGCCAGCAAGGCAGTCTGTTTTCGTTCGTGTTGTTAAATGAATTCCCCTGAGCGGATTAGAAGTAGATGCCATTTTGTATAGCTGAAATTATTTGCTTTTAAATTTAGGCTAGTGGTTYTTGTATCTTTGCTAGACTAAAAAGCCCTCTGCTATCACATTTGGATAACGTGTGTGTATGTTTACTATGATTGTCGCCAAACTTGACTTTGTAAAACATAGTACTTCGAGGTAGAGCTTTCCTTTGTGAGGCTTACTTTTCTGCTCTCCTAATGTTTCTTATGGCTCTTTTGTGGATTATTTTCTCTCTTGCAACACCTCTCTTGATGACCTGTAAATGCTTTAGCTGGATCCAGTATCCCAATATCTAGCCTTAATTGTTGTCATTTATAACTTGTTTATTACAAGAATAGACAATATTTATCACAAAGTTTGTCACAATACTTATCGTTGGAGACTTAGAGCTGTGTATTGAGCAGTTCTCCCTTTTGTAGATTCTCGGTACTGAAGAATTTTGATCAAATAATGGACTTTGTAATATTTCTAGGATTCYTTTTGTTCCTAATGTACCCAGAAGGCTATTTCTTGTGTCTTTTACTTCACTGGACAGTCTGTAGCATTTCAGTTAAGCTTACTGCTATTGCGGAGATTTCTCCCTAGTTTTCCCATCATTTGTTTATAGGTAGTCTGGGGRAAAGGTTCAAATTTTGGGTTAACTTTCTCATCTAGTTATGATTATTGACCCATCAGTTTGTAACTTTAGAAGAGTCTTATTTGAAAAACAGACATTAATCTTTGAAGTCAGATTCTTTCCTTAAGTCTGAGTTCAGGATTTTTTGCTTTACGAAGCTGGAACTTTTAAAGAAACAAGTACACATAAACTGTGGTTTTTCGTTTGTGCATAATAAATACAGCCAAGGCACAATCACTTGCAGCTAAGCTATGGCTARTCTTTTTTTTGGTGATCAGTTTCTCTGTACCTGTCGAGTCAAGGTCCAATAAAGATTTCACGGTATCAAATTCAGTGTTTTTGTGTTTTCTGAGTTTTGTAAATCCTGAGCCTGCTGTAAAATTTTCAGAATGATCAGTGTCTGTTAAAATCCTGTGTGATAACGGTTTTGGGGTCATGGCATGAGGGAATGTTCTGTGCATTTTTAGCTGAGTGCATGGACAATCTGTTCTCTTCTGTGTATTAACAGTCAATATTCCCTCTCCTTGTGCTTTAGATGCAGGGTCGTTGATCCATAAATGTCCAAGATGGTTTGCCTCTGAGTTGTCAGKGGCTTGTAAACAAGTGATGCAATTTTAAGTATAGTCCCATTTTCCCTTTTGTTTGCTTCCTATTTCCTAAATAGGCAGCAATAGTGATTTCAGCATTCTGTTTGTGTAKCTACCTGTCAGTAGCATCGCCTTTGTTAAATATACACCTATAAGAACACAAGACAAATAATAGAACATTGTATTCTTAAAGYTTGTAATATTGTCAAATCAGGCATTAAATGGATGTGATTACTTATGTTTTCAGCTTTATGAGTTCTGTTAATTCAAATTTGGTGTATTTTATTCCAATTCATATTTTCTCTTTAAAAAAAAAATTAACATTTTCATGGCTAGTTCAGGACTTTCCCAAATAGTCAAATCATTTTTCTGCATAAACAGTTCTTTCTTTTTTTGTGGAGGTGGAAGCCACCWAAATGTTGCATTTCCCTATCCTGTACCAACCAGATGGCATTTCATAATTCTGTGCCTTGCATCACTTTCACTGATGGTTCATTTCCAGTTTTGTGGTCTTTCTGTCCAGGAACTGGACAGAACTTAAGGAGGTCCACTCAGGTCTTTTCCATGTCCTTTAGAGTTCAGTGAACTGTAATGTATATCTTGAAACAGTGCCACTGCTATCAGTGGWGTCTTTCTAACCAGCTGCAGAGATCAGCCCAAATTGAGCAAAAGTCTGCTATTGTCACTTGTTAGAAGATGTGTACCACTTTTATCCTTAAGAGCTTTGAAACCATAGTAAATATTACAGTTCTGTATTATTCACTGTAAAAGAGTATCATCTAAATGGGCAGAAACTTGAATGTAGCATACATTTATTATGACATTAAAATGATAAGAAGACACATTGTCGTGCTAAAGCACACAATATCGCAAAATTGCCGACAACTAAAGGGAGAAGAGATTTAGCATGATTGGAGAACCTTTAGGAAAAATTGTGAGAACTTTCACTATGCTACTTTTTGCACTCCTTAAATTATGTCAAAGGTAGCAAAGAACTTTATGTTGCAAACATTCTTTAGCATAACCTCTGCTTGTGCCTGACAGGTCTAAAAGAACTTACTATATTGTACTTCAAAAGAACATGTTCCATATCATGTTTGGAGCCATTTAAGAAAGTGACTTTTTGATATTTTAGGTTCACTCCTTGCGACTTGGCGTTCTCTGGTGACGTTTTGTAATATGCTGCTCATCTTCCTTGTCTCATGGTCTCACTAGGATTTGGAGGAAGTTCACATGCTTTGAGGGGACCCACAATTTGATGTTATTGCACAAGCAAGACTTGAAGGCTGACAGTTTTGTTTAAAGAGTGGGCAGACAGAACTGTGTAGTGAGGCGCGTGTAACGCCAGCCCTCGCTGCTTGGCAAAGCCAGCRTCGCTCTGCGAGCGCCAAATTCACCCCACCAGACAGAAGGACAGAAATGAGCTTTTGAACTTTCTAATGGTTATGGTAAAAGCTCCACATGTTCAAAGCATCTTTGAACCACATTTATTAGATGGAAAATAGCTGTTAGCTCACAATGAAATCTGTGAATTGGGCAATCAGAGATTTTAGGGCTTGAATCATTGGTTATAGGTTAGGGCCAATTATTTTAACATTATCTTAGCTTAGAAAGATGCCAAGAACGTCATAGATGGAAATGCATGTTTGTATAGTCCAAGCAATCTTGGTAGAATTCTCTAAGCTTGCTTTTCCTAAAGCTATGAAATAGATCAGCATACACAAAATATGGTACTAATGTGATTACTTTCCTCCCTGTTATTAATGCAAAGACTTGGTTTGTATGTCAAAATGCTGTTGATTTTAAAACTCTCCTACTGGCTCCAAGCATGGSTGTAAGGCTCTGTCTTGGTAATTAGGTCAGTTGAGATCTAGGAATGTTGTCTGCTTGAAAAAGAGTAAAGGGACAACAGTGGGGAAGGAATCAGGAAAGAACAGTTATTACTACATGACTGTAGAAGACTGGTAGTAAAGTGTTAGTTACAGCTGTGTGCTTCCTCAGAAAGTCCAGATTTCTTAATCTTTAAAATACCTTCAAAGTAGAACTGTGCTGTGTTTTTATATGTGGATCAGATACCTTCAGCAAATCAGTGGGAACTGATGGTGCTCTGGTAACCCAAGTTGTATCAGGAGGAGTTGGGTACTTGTCAGCAGTTGCCAAGTGAGTTAGATGGAGCAGTCATGAAAGCTCAAGGGTTTCTGTTTCTTAGTAGGATTTTCAGCAAGGTGAAAAGTGTCTGTAGATTGAGTGGAATTTTTGGAGCGTTCAGCACCAAACAATGTTCAGCCTTTTTTGCTCTKTTAAATACTTAATGGCTCTCTGTCCTCCGGACTTCTCAGGGGGGATCTGGTCTGACAAAAGGTTCACCATACCTAGAGTGTCATGTGAATTTCGGTTTTTTG